ATATCAGTACGAGCATGGACTTACAACCATATACGTCGACTGAGTTCTGGGAGGCATGGTTAGCTGAGTTAGTTCCAATGGCCTGTCCTGACTCGCCCGCAGGTCTAGGGGCTCCTATTGCAACCCCAAGCAATGGCCTTTACCACAGCTTGAATGGGCTGGTGCCTGTCACACCTGATCTGCATGATCATCTTGATGAGAGCGAGGTTCCCGCAGGACTATTTGTTTCCAGTACCCCAACGTCAACCAGCATTGCGATCAATGTGGACGACATTGCCACCGGCCTAGAGAACAAGGATTCAGAGCCCGAAGTGATTGAGCAGATATTCAGATTGGATAGCTTTCCGGCATAGGCTACGTTCAAGAGGGGTTTCGTCCAGACTCTACCCCGAGAGTTGACGGGCGCTGACCAGCCGATCGGGGAGGCGACAGAGAAGTACTTTGCATGCAAGTTGACGGCGATACAAAGACACTCCTGAAGCTTAGATAGGGAGATGCGCGGAGCTTAGAGGACTGAGGGAGTGCCTACACCGCTCCCGCTTATTGATAATGGTTGACGAATCTAATAATTACTTGTTTGTGGAAATCTAACCCCAAGCAGACCGTATGAACGAGCGCAGAAGCACTGCGCTAGTTGCCTCAGGATTGGGGAATACGTCACTCGACCACTGTATCAAGGAAAGAAGATAGCACCGCAGTGGGATATCCAGGATCAAGGCGTATCAACGGGAGCCGTCCGTGGGTCCGAATATGTTGGATTACCTGCTGGTGAGTGAAGTGGATGGATGTGGAGGAACCAGTACCTGCTGGTTACTGGTTGAGCCTTGCCCGCGATATTTTCATGGTTCAAAAGTCGCAGGAAGCGGCAATTGCTTGCTTCGTCTTAGCGATTCAGTTGGTATACCGTTGTGTAAAAATGGGACTGCCTAATAAGGTCTACTCGGGTGTTGAAGACATGGCTGATGAACAGAGGATGAAGCTAGGTTGGACATCCGTGCCATCTTGGACCGAAAAAGGGCCATCATGTAGCACGATATTCCTCAAGGTTTGGGAAGGAGAAGAACGACAAGATAGCTACGACAAGCAACTCTGAAAGAGTAAACATTCGCTGAAGCAAATAGACTACGGCGGGGAAAAGAAAGGGGGCCAGAGAGAGATTGAAAGAAAGAGAGTAAGACAAAACAACTCCGTTTGAAAAGCCCAGAAAACTATACAGCAAGACAAAGAAAATCGAGCAGATCTAAAGACTCCACTGGCTCAGCCCCAGCCTACCGAGACCCTTCCGTAGGAACCACCATGCTGCAGTACTGGTTCCAAAACCGGATGCAGACACACAAAGTGCTCCAGATAACTTGGCGTTGAGAGCTATGGGCGTTATCATGGCGTTGCGTGGCATAAAGGCCTCCCATTCCCACCTTATCTGGTAACCCTAAAGGGGGCGGGGAGACGGCCAGCGCGACTGTGACTGCATGGGATAGTGTTGTATCGGGGAAAACAAAGATTTCACGCAATGCACCCTTCCCACGGCACTAAGCTGAAAATGGGTTTGAGAAGATAAATGGTAAATGGACTGGTCCCCACGCACGAACTTGTGCGTCGCAAGGCAGCGGTAACTGCGATTCAGCTCCCATGTCACACAAGGACATGCCGATCACATTGGCTGAGGTTGTTGCCAGCAGGGGGAGAGGCCGGGACAGACACCTCGCGTCCCACTCACGGACGTGAAGACCCACTTCACCGAACCAGAGAAGTAACTCTGATCAACTGCACAGCTTCTTTTTCCAACCGCGAACGCCGCAGACGGTCGAATGTGGTCTAGTGCCGAAGTTCTCTTTGACAACTGATCCCTTTCTCTCGGGATCAACAGGGCAAATTGCTCTCGCTCTCTAGCAGCTGGTACACCAGCGCGGTACAAAACAATAATTTCCGGGCAATGTAACGCAGGACTGTCCCGCGATCCTCCCCGCTTGGGATAACCGATGTTCCACTATATTCTCGAAGAACCGATCTGACCGACGGGCTTTGTTGTGAGGGTCGAAAACCTCTACTGGATGCAGATCAATCTTTGTGCAGGCACTAATTTTTCTTCCCTTGACTCCTCATGTGTTCTTCCAGCTTGTCATAGCTCTCCGTCAGCTCAAAATCTCGTATGACATTGCACGGTAGCGTATTATAGACAACTTCAGCTTCAAGTCTGGATAATACGGATCAACGCCTCTCTAAGGGCAATGGCAGCTGTGTTTTGGAATGCTATGGGACGGGAATCATTCGTAGGTCAATGGCCTGGGACTGCTTTCACACGACCTCCGAATGGGCGCTAACGTCGATACCATGGTTCCAAGCATGGACCGACCAGGAGCTGAGTGTGACCTTGACGGTTCTGTGGCAGTATAAAGTAATCGACCTTGAAAGTTGTCAAATCAAGTGCGATCAGTTTAAGTAGCCTGTACGCGGCCCGTAACTATTGGGGCTGAAATCCCTTGCTTGCGTTTCCCAGCTATCAGAAGACGGAAAATTGTTGATGGATACGATAAAGGAACCCTTGGTGCAAGCTGGTGAAACAGTAAAATGATACAGGCTACCTAGAATCTGACCTTCACCCTCTTAGGGCATTCTAAAGAAGAATCCAGTGATACGCGCAAAACCCGCAAGATGTTCTCAACAGAATGCATTGGATTCAGGATTTTTCTGGTATCGATGGGTTTGTCCCAACTCTCAACACGCGCAGAGCATTCGCTCCCGCTCGTCTCTTGGCCTTATGTTCATCATTAATCCGCGTGATCGATGTGAGGATGAATCACTTCTCTGGTTTACTAGCGGCGTTGTATGAGGTTGTCGAGGGTTTACTCCACGCGTGGAAGAAATAGTGGGGAAACGGCGACTCAACCCGAGGCGTATCTATGGATGACCGTAAGATGCATTCCTTACCAACTGATGGGGGCTGACAGCACGATAGAGGCATACGTAAGATGTTTTCGGGTTGCGTAAGCGGAGATAGGATGTTGTGCCGGTTGCACGTCTGGAATTCGGGAACCCCATAAAAAGAAAAAGTAACAGTGAACCGCCAGGGTTTTCTCAGGGTAATGTCTCGTCGCTGCGCTGCAGGTTAGTCATTCTCATGTCAGGCGAATTCTTGTCTCTAAAATGAGTTACCGATTCTTGGGGCAAGCAGGTGGGCAAATTGAAGATCTCGAAAGATCAGCTAGAGATTGACCTTGAGCAAAATCTTTTGCTGTGGTCCTCTTCGGTTCCCCTTCGCGCGGAAATTCCAGGTCGGCCACCTGCCGATATGGCAACTCTAATCATTCTGGTCGACAGCACGATTTTTCGTGTACGTCCAAGCGACCTCAAGCTTCTGATCCTGTTCGATGCTGTCAAAGCCACAATCGCCAATGCAAAGGTCATCGGTTAACTGAGAGGGTGCTGGCCTGCCAAGGTCACGTCGGTTCCAGACCCGCCTTCAACTAAAGGGCAGTTCTGCTCTTTGCGGCAATATGAACTGGCTGCATGGAGTCTGCTTGGCAATTCGGCCCCAAAAAGGAAAGCATCAAATTTTCTGTAGTCCTGTTGAGATTTGACCGCTCTGGGCGAGGAACTAGCCCACGGCGTTTTGACCCGCAGCAAAGCAGGTTGTCGCAGACCTCAACCATTACTGTGTTTCACATTTTTCTGCAACGAACGTGAACGGTTCTTCTTAGAGTTCTGAAACATCACGCCGCTTGGAAAGTGGTTGTATTAACTGATGCTGCCCATTTAACAGATTTTGCTTGTGTGGTTCGAATATTCCCAAGTAGACTTCGCTAAACTGCCAAGACGTGAACCTCTTCTAAGCTTCGTCTGTTACCTGTGTGTCTACGCCCATTTACCAGCTGCGCGGTCCCACGGGTCGCACGCACCGTTCCTCTGCCTATGCCCACGCGTATGGTTCGCCCCAGTCGGCCCATTTTGGATTAACGGTCTCAGACTAAGGAGCGAATGCCTGGACATGCAGGGTCAATCCAGAAGGGAGATGGGGATTTTGCCCTTCTTTAACGGTCATCATGTGCACCTGGGCATTTCATTATTTAAATTGCACTCAGGGATGGCTGAACACTGTACCGTGCGCGGCACTTGGTGACATATAAGCTTTCTCAATAGGAGATCCCGCAACCATGAGGTAATTAAGCGAGGTGGCCGAAACGGGTATTCGCGTGCCCGGTGGGTCTGAAGTGGGCAAGTTGTCCGACAAGAACACCGCTTTAAGGTTTCGCGTTTAAGCTCTACGGTAATGACCAGGTAAGGTTTTGCTGTGCTCGGTTGAAGAGACGAGATTCCCCACTGGTGTTCGCTGGTGTTTGGAGGTCAATCTGTGACTCAGAATGCCCGATCAGGCCGGTAGATACTCAGCGCATGTCGAAATCTGACTTCCCAGTTCTGCTTCTTCTTTAACCAGCAGCACAGTTTCAATTCCACATGAAAGAGGTTTTGACCAAGCAGGGCGCGATTTTGCGCTTTTCAGTTCATGTTGGTAGCCCTTTCAGCTGCCTGACCCAGGTCTTATCTAAGACCTGATTGGAAGCTGGATGAGACGTGGTCAAGTTACCATACGGTCTTTTCTAAGAGCGGTTGCATACCTTGATACTCTGTAGGGCATCTGTTCAGCATTTGCCCAGGCGGACAATGTCTTTTTGGCCGCCCTCCGGTCGGTCTTGGTCAGCCGTTGTTCCCTTGGGCTACCGACATTACCGTAATAAACGATCGCGCGGCCTATCCCGTAATGCCACATACAAGCTGCTCTTTTAATACTTGTTATATCCCAATGGTAGCAAGTCCATAGAGGCGCTTCTCAGCATATAGCTCTATCCTGTGACCAGCTTAGAGTTATTCTTGCTAAGTTTTTCCAACACTAGTCGTATATATAGTGACTATCATAGAACACAATCGAAATACACGTAATCGATCTAGCGGCTGCGCTATTTGATGTCAATATTCGGGGAAGTCATTCTAGAAAATCATTATTAGATATCACTATAATATGTACGTTTATAACGTAGCCTTGTAGACTTTATTTGGCTGAGACAACCTACTGTAAACAAAACGTTATAATAAGACTTCTGGCGTATGATGATTTGGGACGGCTTGTAGAGTATTGGGCAGAAGTGAGTTTTTATTATTCCACAAGACAAATATAAAGCAATGACGCGCTAACCTTGAACACAACCAGGTAGCTTCATGAGGTAAATTCACACCAGGTACTGATGTAGAAAACGGGGCAATTGGTCACAGCACAAAGAGTTGGACGAGCAAAAGCGCAGCTGCCGCGGTATGTCGTCCCACCCTGGAGAACCCTGGCGGAGAGTTCTCCCAGCATGTCTCCGTCACGGCTCGTGCCTACTGCCTCGTGCGACCGGAGACACGGTATGCCGACCGCCACAGCCGATCGATCTTGTCAGATGTAGTTGATGCCCGAGGGGATGCTCTCCGTTCACTTCCGTTTCCTGCTCCTAAGAAGGTTGTGAGTGTCAGAGGGCTTCGATCACGGCACGGGGGCATGCTCTTACTGGGAGAATTACCCCAGCCTTCAACAAGCCCACGCATCAAACACATGTGGCTCCCACGTTCGGCTGAGAACTGGGAGGTCAATTTTGAAGCCCAGGTCGACGGTGCGGTCTGATTCTGGTTCTGGTGACCGGATACGCGTGTAGGGGTCCGTGGCCTCATCGCCGGCATCGCTACCGCGCTCGGGTCGTCTAAACGATGCTCGGAAGGCGCGGGGGTGCCGATCGAGATAGGACTGGGCCAAGCTTTCCGCTGGCGATGATCCTGTCTCGGGGGGATGCGACGCCTGAGCCGCGATGGGGGTTTGCAATTTGGATGGCGGTGCCGTCGGATGTCCTTCTCCAGCAGTCGATATTTGGTCCGCAAAGACTCTCACGTTCTGGGTTTGCGTTCGATGGAATATATCCTTGCCCTCTCCGGCCATGTTAAATGGAGATGACGAGCTACCCATGATGGGTAGTCATGTTCCTCGCCGGGAGTCCAGGCCCGGTAGTGTCTCTTGGGCATGGGGGGCAAGAGAAAATTGATAAACGTGGTCTAAGTTGGAGAACAGCGCTGGTAAAGACAGGCGGAGAAGTGAAATATAGAGGTAGGCGTATTGCCCGCTGTGCGGAAGATGTACAGCACTGCGAGGCTACAAGAAAGAGGAGGGACACCGTGATCTACTTGATGTGGAGGGCCTTTTGCCCTAGCGATGTTTCCTGGTTAATGAACATTGCCCCACCCATGCAACAATTTTCATTAACCTACCCAAGTAGCTCACCGGTCGACCTGCCCTGCGGCCCAGGGTTGTCCAAGTTTCACAGGCCAATACCACATTATGGGATGGTGTCAACGAGGGCAGAGAGCCTCGAACCACGGGCCAGGCGGGCCAGTGTCAGAGACGAGAGTAAACACGCTACGATATATAGATCAGGCGGAATAAGGTTGACCTCAATATTTGACCGCGCTGGCCGAGAAAATAACCCGGTGCTTAGGTGAGCTGCAAAGCACGATGTTGTAGATCCTGACCATCAGTGTCACTCGTTCAATTTATGGTAACACAGAATCATGTAGGCAGATAATGCCAACCGACAGTGGTCACTAATTTTCTTTGACTGAGATGATTGCCGCGGGACCCTACCATCACCAATGGCGCGCTTTAATCTTGTCCAGCCAGGTCTCTGGCTAGCTGTGACTCCGACCAATTCTCCCTTCAGCACGGCACTCTATGGCACACTCGTACCATTCCACACTCCTCTTTTGTTAGCTCGAGTACCACTGATCAATGCCAAAAGTCACAACCAGGTCGCGGGTGGGCGTTCGCGAAACCACCCAGAAGACCGAGAATCACAGTGGTGTCTCCGACGCAGGATCCATCCAAAGAGAGGAGCCCCATCGCGCGGCCTCCCCAGCAGCCTCCGCGCTCCCTCAGACGTCCATACATGGTAAGCCTCCATGCACGGTTGCCGGGGCCTGTTGTTTAGCTGACTTCACTTACCCATTAGCGGCCACAGATATCCGGTTCTGGTTCTCGAGGCGTTCCTACTGCCAGCTCACTGGAGAACCACGAGACCTGTCTGGCTACGGTCGAAACCTTGGAACGGGAAAATGAAGCATTGCGGTGGGACAAGAAGGCCCTGTTGGAGCGCCTTGAAAGCGCGGAAAGTGCAATGCAGGAATTGTTGAGTAACCAGCATCGGTGCAGACAAGAGTTCTCTGAGTGGCAGGTGGCTCAACAACTGGTGGATGAAATGCAGCATTCCGTTGCAGGTTGGCACCAGCGCCTTCGGAGCCCGGCTGGTGTACCAGAACGTGTGAACCCAGCTGCCCTGACTACTGCCCTACCGACAACGACAGCGGTACCGGACATGTGGCCTACTCAGGAGGATGAAGGGGGTGCATTTGGCGGTGACCATGATATGGTACCCGACTCTGATAACTTCGCGCAGCTTTTCCAGTTGTAGTTGCTCTACCATAGTAATGGATTAACTTCTGAGATGTGCACAAGTATACTGACCGACAACCATCGTACAGATTGTGTCACGTAGTGCACACCTGCACACCTGCTCTCGCTAGAGCTGGCTAAGGGCGCTTTTGACACGGACGATTGTCTCTGCATTGGCAGAAGGACAGGGTGATGCTAGATCGAGAGCGGCACTCTCGAACTTTGCATAGATGAGCAATTAGTTGTGCAATGTTCGTTGGAGCCATTGCGTTGTCGGAATTTTGAGGAAAGAAACAGCGATTGATGCAGCGTCCAGCATCTACTGTCATCAACATATAATCTCTTCGGTTCTCCCTCTCATCATCCCGCGCAAGGAGCGATACCAACCAACTGTTCTGCAAGACATGATCGACTGGGGACCATATTGATCAACCATCAGATTGCGCTAGCGCTGGGGAGAACCATGGCCCTGGAGGCGACCCGTGCGCGGCTTTCGAAATGCCAGAGAAAAAAAAGTCCATTTTCGTTGCGAGACACCCTGTAAGATGAACAGCGGTAGCAACACTTGTTGAAGCCAGTACTCTGTTCGTGCAACCAGGATCACCGATCAATTGGGTCTGATCCCAGTATACTAGATGTCTTTGCTTTATTGACGACGCGATGGTGGAAGACGCACTTTTATGCGAACCATGCTGAGCAGTCGGCTTTCCTTGCGATTGACTTTGCCTGATGTCCTCACTCTGGGTCCAGACCCTTCATATGATTATCTCCATTCCAGTCAATTACAACGCAGAGTAGGGTTCCTCAATTGCCAAATCCGCTCTTGAAGTGGACTATACCATCTGGTATGCTGCTGGGCGGTAGTTCGACTAGAGTCATTCTGCCGGATGTCGGAGCTTCTGGGCGAGTTCCAAGATTGATTAAATCTTTTGATGCTTCATCATGTGACGACTCAAGTGGACGCCAGTGATGGTCAAAGCTCTGTATGATAATATCTCGAAAAAGCCCTACTTATACCTTGGAAAAATGGCCATATTTCTGTGGGTTGAGTTCTACGTACAAGTTAAAACGTGCCACATCAGTTGTGCTCTCAAACGCGAAGGCTGGTCCAATAAGACTGCCAAGCAAAAAGCGAATGAGCGTAATGCAGCTTTGCGGGACGGTTATGTTCAACATATATTAGAGTTCTCCTCCCACCATCTTTTGTTCGTCGATGAATTAGAATGTGATAAGAGGGGATAGCTTCAGGAAGACAGGCTGGTCTTCTCTTGGCTAAGTGGCTAGGTTCCACCGCGATCAGCGGTATCAAATCCTTCCGGCATATTCTCAAGCTGGAATTATGTGTTCTCGTATTTTCGAGGCTCTACTGACGCCTTGGTGTTTGAGGATGTTATGGAGGAACTGATTCGACACTGTGGATGATGACCAGAACCGAAACCAGTGATTGTAGTAGACAATGCATCCCTTTCATCGCTCAGAGAGGGTAGAGGGGATGTGCTCGCAAGCAGGTGCCAAGATAGTATATCTACCCCCATATTCCCCGGATTTAGATCCAATCAAAGAATTATTCTTAGAGCTAAAGGCGTTCATAAGGCGGCACTGGCAAGCTCATGACGAAGTTCTGAACAGGGATCCGGTTATTTTTTTGACTGGTGCGCTAATACCGTGGGCACGAGGAAATCATGTGCAGAAGGGCGTTTCCGAAATGCTGGCCTGACACTCAGCGAACTTTAAACAAGATATGGTAGCTACAGGGCCGCTGACCGCGTGATGAACTGAACATTGATTCTTGATGACCTCCTCTGAGACAAATTATGATCTAGTCATTTTCGTTGTCATTGCTAACGACCGTGGTCCAACTCTCTTAGGGAATCCAACGGGGAAGCGACCAACAAGAATGCGATGCAAGACTCAGCTGACAGTCAATGTACCTGACCAGCCACTGAGCTGAGAATCCATAAGTCCTAACTTTGTTGAGTCGTCTGCTTATACATTTATTTCCTCTATATCACGCAGGATAATCACCATGGTTATGGCACCAAAGTCGCTGTGAGCCCCGATTACTGCAACTAAAAGTTAGCTGATCAGGGGTACCCTCCAATATAGGTTTGGAGCTGACAGCGAGAGGATTGGTAGTGCAAGCCTCGTTCCAGCTCCGACACATCTGGCGCTTGAGGGGGGTAGTCACTTGACAATTGTCCTGGCCGTCAGGAAGCTCGCGCAGATCATCATCAACCATTAGTTTGAGGCCATTTTGCTTGACGTGGAGGACTCGCACTATACGCTGGGATCGATGCGCTGTTTCATGGAAATCTTCTCCATCAGATCGCGAACCGTCCGCTCAGTCAGATAGACGGCCCTGTAATAGTCATCCGAAAGCCGATCGTTACCAATAAATCGTATGTAGAAACAAGCAACTAGGACGATGTCAGTTCGCCTGTCTTTGATGTTACCAATTCAATAACTTACTTGAAATTATTGGTCGCTTCGCCGGTGGTTGATAGGTTGGGTCGATATCTACCGCCTCTATGTATCCCATTTTGGCGCTACTAGTGGCTGGAGTGACTTTGGTACTTCGATGGGATGCTTTAACGTGACCTTGCCGTCCAGACTTCAGAGCATGACAGTGAATCCTCTTGGGCGGTGGTCAATGACCCATGGTACCCTGAGCCATAAAACATACTCGACTGCATATTGGTTGGAAGGCATGGTGAGCTCATGGAGATGCTACTTCTAGTAGGTGATACGGCGTGCAGAGGCGCACAATTAAGACTTGAACGGAGCCTGCTACTGTCCTCTCGTTCGACGAAATCAAGCGACTACCAACTGCAGAAAGGCATGTTTACCTAGGTGGAGTGATAGGCCCGATGGGCGTCCGACCGAAGCTCGTGGCACTGCGGTGGATGACTGGGGAAATTATATCTAAGGACTTTCGGAATCTCTCAATGAGCTTGTCGTCTGGCTTCTGGGAATTCTTTCTGCAAGGGTGATATCCCAATCAGTGTAAGAATGGCCGGCGAATCGTCGGCATCTGGAATGTCAACCGTACCTGTTGCAGAACATCGTTAACAGGTCGGAGGTAATAAAAACAACTTATTCCGTTCTGTTGTTCGTCGGGCACTGGAGGACCTGTAAAGAAACTCAAATCCAGGAGAAGACGGGGAGGCGCTAGAGGAAAGATGCGGCGTTCGGATCGCCAGGCGCTACCTGATCCGGAACCTCGAAGCTATCCCGGGGGCCGAAAGTAGTGCTCGTATGTATATGTCTAGTTAAGCGAGAGGAGGGTCAAATGAACCCGACATATAGTAATAGCCTGTCGTAATGCATCCCTATAGTATAAGACGGATACGCGGCTGTACTTGACGGTTTCGGTATCATACCACGAATCACTACAACAGAGAACTGCTGAGTACTACTACGACGTTCACTACGACTACCAGGTAGCTAGCGAAAGAGTGAAATAACCGACCATCTCTTTCGCGTTCTGATATCATTCCAATTGCTTGAGATTCAACAGTTCGTCGGAACTTCAGACGTCCGGATATCCGTCTTCCCTCCTCCCCTGCGCCCGGCTATCCTGCCTAGCAGACCAAGTGGATTTGTACACAGCCTGGCTCCTAGTAGTAGCCCTCAAGAATACAAATACTAGATAATACCAGGATACGTTGAAGCCTTATGCGCCTTTCATTCAAGACCGAAGCAACCCGCGATACGGTGTCAGTCCAAAGGACTGTGGAACCGCGGCCTGACAACTCCTAGGAACTTACCTCATAGCTCTCTGCAACTGTCAAATTCCGAGAAGCTGATGCCCTTTCCCCGGGGATTTTGGATCAATTTACTCGGCTAGATTCGTTACCCTTTGACGTCATCAAAGGGTTCATGCCGAATAGACTCTAGTCCTTCTTTGCTCATAATCGAATTTAACGGCGCGGAGAGAGAGAGACCCACGGATACTCGGTATTGGATACCCATGGGTACTTCAGCCTAGAAGAAAATTAGTGACGTTGTTCAAAGTCCGCCTCGCACCCGCTTCGCTAGAAGCAACTCAAACATCTACCATGCCATCTTCATAGCAACGTCGGTTGTTTGGACTTCTTCACGGACAGGAGTTTTATGACTGTAATGTGTGCTATGCTCACAAGCCCACATTCTCTTCATACAATAAGGAACTTCTCGCCTAATACCGACTCCTTTGTTCTTCAAACGCAATTCCAGCGGTAATGTGGCTTGCGGCACTTGGCAAGCCACGAGTGGCCAGACCCGAGCGGAGGGAGCAGCAAGGCTTGTACTCGTGAGAAACGAGCCTGCAAGCGGCGCATCTTGATTTGCAAATCCGAGACGCAGCTTGTGGAGTTAAGCAGAACCAGAGGTACGAAGACTTCTAGTGCTGTAAGCGCGGGCTCTAACTTGATGTGCACACTCAAAGTAAGCCTGGTTGCTTCATGGTTGCGATCAGCTGTCGGCCGCTTCTGATAGGTGCGATTCCCTCACGAGCCAGTGGAGTGGATTCCCACGTCAACATGTCGCCCCCATGCTAGAGTTACCCAATTTTCTCCCGGAAAAACCTATCTTGGCGGGTCCCTTCCGTTTGACGTTCTCGGCCACGATTTTCCCTCACGTGTGGTGGCGCGCAGTCGATAGAAGAGCATAGCTGATCAATTTTACTGCGAGTGCTCAGCCAAGCGTCTTAAACTTATTCGACTCCCCGCGTCGTTAATAAAAACACTGTTGTAATATGAGGCTGGTGCAGATCAGGAACAAAGCCGAACCATCTGAATTAATCCCGAAGTATGTATACGAAGAATCAACTTGAATGGAAATCAAGTTGATCTTCTCGTTGTATATATAGCCTCATGTTTCCCTCTGAATAATAATAATCAAGCTCCCTTGGAATTACAACAAACACATTATAGCCGTGCTCTGCACCCAGAGCAGTTGTCTAGATCGTATGAATGCATATTTTACTAGCGCCCCGTGCACCCTTCCCCACATCGCAGCAGCATCTTTTCTACGTACATAACCATTCATAACTATGTTCAGAATTGATCCACTCCGCCTGCGCCCCGGCTCTCAATAACAGACCTGACAATGTCCGCCGATCCGAACCACTATGGCACCGTCTCGGGCCCACCAGCCATCACCGAGGATCCCAGGCCAGGTTTTGTTCCCATCTCTGTAAACAACACCATCTATTAGGACTACCTGTCGCTGCCTCTTATCGAGAACAACGACCCATGGCTGCTTATTTCCTTCTCGCCACCCATGTCTTGGGCCGTTGGTCCCGCCGTCCTAACCGACTCCACCGCTAGCTCGGAGGCTAGCTTCATTGCTCCCTACCCGTCTCCGCGATCATCAGCGGGTAAGCCCCACCGCGCGGACATTTCACTTTTGGTGCAGCGGCTCGGATGCCTCATACGCCAATACGCGAGATCACGGAGTTCCAAGCAGGACCAGAGGATGATATTTGGGTTCTAATGATTTGGTGCCACTTCCGGCTTTATAGGAGGAGGCATTGGCAGAGGTGCGAGAAGACACGGAGAAATCGCTGAATTGGGTCGACTCCAGAAAGGCCGTCCATGGTGCCTGTATATGTTTGCTTGAGCTTGGAATTACTCGGCTAAGGGAAAAATGATTCGACTGCGCAATTTGGGCCAGTTCACCCATTGTTCCGAAATCCAAGCCCTATATATTTTGCAGCCGGGTCAAAGGAAAAAACTTGACATTACAGGCTGGCATATAAGCTGGCATGAACCACACAACATGGGAAAAGACTGCCGCGGGCCCGCTGACAGGTGCCGCGATAGAAATAAATGACGTCCAAAATCTATTGTGCTTCCCTAAGAATCAGCTTTGATACCATTCGCCCCATGCACAGGTTTAGAAAGAGACCCATGTGCTTCTTCCTCATGCTACGCCATCGCTGCCCGCGCACTTCTGTTCCGCCAGATGTGTATCGAGTTCATCCACACGCCCTATTGCCACCAGCCTCGACACATACGGTGGTTAATAGCGGCCATCGGGCAAAAGTCGAAGTTGAAATTTTCATTATTTGGTGGACTTTGCTACCGGACTGGAAGACCAGGCGCTTGTAACAGTAGCAGCTAGATTTGCTTTTCAAGTCTAGACTCGATGGGGTTCGTCACTCGTAGTGTAAGCTGTCATGTTGCGTGCAGCTATTCTGATTTGTTCTGCTGCCTTATATTGCCATTTTGGTAGTATGATGTCGAGGTGACAAATCTAATGAGCGTGTTTAAGGCTTAAATAGACTGATGTACATTGTTTGCATTTAAACGCCAGCGGCGCCCTGAGCGCCAGATAGTTGTGGACTATTCACAAGACGTACTGAAAGTCTGTCTCGTGATTAATTATATTGAATCGTGCTGTGATTTCCACATTTTGATAGCTCCTGTTCAAACAGAAAGTCAGCCTTCGTTGGATTCTACTAGACGGAAGCTCTCCGTACCGTTGTGGAGGCTTGCTAAAGTGTCTTTGAGACGAACAATCTCAGCCCTGAGGTCGCTTATTGCCTGATCACGCAGCTGTAAATCCTCATGTAACCCCACGATGGTCTTGCTGCATGAAGAGTATTGGAAAACAGGTGCACCTGTGTTGGTCGTGAGCGTCTGACCGGTGGCAACTGATGTAGTTCCTTCATATTCGGGATCTTGACTAGTATTCAGCGACAAAATCTCAGTCTCATATAATGATATTGGTAGATGATACAGTCCTTACCTATTTTGGGCAGGTTGTGCATAGCGCTACTTGTATGGAAGGGCCCGAGTTTCAAGCATTGTCACAGGCGATAATGTTGCTTGCACCACGGTAGGATCACGGATTGCTCAGACTTGGGAGGCAGCCTACTTAGGCGGTATATCACGTGATGAGTGACATAGGTGAAGGTAGACCTCGCCAAAACGCGGGTTGGGTTGGGTTTTCTGGGTCCCACTGGGTTTTGGGTACCCGCCCATACCCATTCGTACGGCGACGCGGTCTGACGCGCCACTAATTCGATATATCCAAAATCCATAGTGAGGAAAAAGAAAAGAAAAAACCAAAGGCGCGAGACAAGAACCAGCTCACCATCCTCTAAAACTGGAAATCCTTTTCTAAGCTATCCATATTCATAGAGTTGGGACAGCAAAAACCGCCAGCCATTTATCATGACCTCATCCAGTTCTACTTCAGCGAGCTTATGTCCTTTCCATTTAGCTCTCTGACGCCAATAGAGGCGCCCTCAGATTCTATTCCTTCGTCCGATTTTCCCTCCTCGGTATGTTGTGGCTCTATCGTTCGAGCCTATCGATACCCTCAAGACCTGGGACATAGACTGACCTGGACCGAAGCCCTTTCTTAGTCCAAGACGGAGCCATATTTTCTCTCCGGGTGATCCTCCGACTAGCCTTAAGTGCATCGGTCCTGACCGGAAAAAGAAATGGATTTTATACGACGCGGATTATGAGAGCGATTTTTACTCATGGTGGTTGCAGACCGAGTACGGGAGACAGCTGAACGGAAATGGCAGATCTAAGATCAGGTGGTCAATCGAGACGCGCTTCGCTGATGTTTGGAATTACTTTGATCAGGTGGCGGAGATACATACAGGTCGCCCAAAGGTTATCTGCAAGTCCTGTCTGACCTTACTGGATCATCCGCATCACAAGTC